TCTATCTTGTCTCACTAAATGATAAGCTCAATGAGGGAAAGAAATTTGTACACTAAAATATGCACCATGCCTAGAAAAACAAATACCTATGTTATGAGCTTAAGACTTATTAATTAAGTGAATGAATGAACAATGACAGGGGGAGTTGAACATCAAGGAAGAGATCAAGGAGACCCAACATGTGCATAATAGCAGGACTAGAAAAAGAAAATAATATAAAAAAGAAAAAAAATTAATCATCTAGAACAATAGCAGCTCTCGAAGGTGTAAAGGTTATAGGAGGAAGCAATAATTAATCAAGTCGAATGTTTCCTTGAGCTACAGAAAGAACTGGGTCTGAATATTAAAAAGGTGCTCCATGCAACTCAAATTGACAATAAAGGCACAAAAGGAAAATCTATTAAACTTCAAGACAGCAAAGTCAATTTACCTACAAAGAAAAAGTAATTAGAAGAAAAAGTAGGGTGACATCATATTGTTTATTTGCAACCCAGGTCAGGTAAAGACACTCCAAAAGCATTGGTAGCCCTAGAAAAAGTAGAAAGTATCTGTAGACTACCAAAAGACTGCTGCTTTCTTCAAATCTATACATGATTAATATATATTAGATGATGAAGGAAATAGTTTTGTGTATGCCAAAACTCATACAATCTATCTCCAAATATTCTATCTGAAAACAATAATAAACTGACAACATTTTTTACTAAATGCTTCAGAATAGAAATCTCAAATAGGGAAATGTGAAGGACAAAAATAGGGTGTAAAAAATTAAGATTGAAATGTGCAAGCATGTGTGTATTTCTGTGTGCACACATACACATGTGTCACATAGGTAAATCTAAACAGAATATCTGAATACATAACTAAAATTAGTTATGAATTAGGGCTCCTGAAACGGAACATTCAGTAGGAAAAAATGATATTTAGTATTAGAATCTGAAACTAATAGGAATAAATTATTAAAAACAAGACTCCCAGAATTTAGACTGTGAAGGAAGTATAAATCATAAGAGAGAAATTTAAGTGTATATATGAAATGATAATGCATGCATATTAAATGATTAATAGTTCTTTCCAAAATAAATAAATATGTGGGTGTTTTTATTTTGTTTTTTAAGGTGGGGGTCAAACCCAGGGCTTTTCATATAATAGAAAACTGCTCTACTACTGATTATAGCCCTGATCCTTTTTGTTTTATTTTGAGACAGGGTCTGGTTAAGTTGACTGGGCTGCCTAGAAACTTGCTATCCTCCTGTCTCAGCCCCAAAGACAGTTGAGATTTCCGGTGTGTGTCCCCACATCCAGCTTCTAATAATATGTTATTGATTATGCATCAGAGAAACTAAAATTTATTACTAATAATGTGGACTTATGAAAGAAGCTTTCGGAATTATGAAGAGAAAAAATAAAATAAATAACAACAAGCCAAAGGAAAAGAAACTATGTACAAATGCCACATTTTTTTAATCCATTCGTCCACTGAAGAACATCTAGGTTGGCTCAACAATTTAGCTATTGTGAATTGTGCCGCTATAAACATTGATGTGACTGTGTCCCTGTAGTATGCTGTTTTTTAGGTCCTTTGAGTATAGTCTGAGAAGAGGAATAGCTAGGTCAAATGGTGGTTCCATTCCCAGCTTTCCAAGGAATCTCTATTCTGCTTTCCATATTGGCAGCACCAATTTGCAGTCCCACCAGCAGTGTATGAGTGTAAATTTTTCCCCCGCATCCTTGCCAACACTTGTTGTTATTTGTCTTCATAATGGCTGCCATTGTTACTGGAGTGAGATGGTATCTTAGAGTAGTTTTGATTTGCATTTCTCTGATTGCTAGAGATGATGAGTATTTTTTCGTATATTTATTGATTGATTGTATATCCTCTTCTGAGAAGTGTCTATTCATGTCCTTGGCCCATTTATTGATTGGATTATAATGGATAATTATGAATGTAATGCACTCCACTATTGTCATGTATATAATAAATAAATAAATAAGAAACTATGTAAAAACTATGAAATGAAAATATTGAGTATTAAAATGATCAAACACTGCTTGACATAGTTTTTCTTGTTAATAAAAGACATAAAATTTCATCATTTTGTTTATCTCACCTCCTAAATATCTTTACTTATTTGCTTATTTATTTATTTTTCTTCTGTATACTGGAATGAAGTATATCCTATTTATCTTTACTACCATAACAGCCCCTTGATCAGCCTCCAGACTATATTTATGTATTCCAAAAATTTCAAAGCTTATTATTTAACCAATTAACTGTAGTAGATGTATGTATAATACTCTAAATTTTAAGTTTCCAATAACTTTCATCACACTTTGAGGTGAAATCCAGAAGTCCAGAGAGTTTTCATGTTGTAGAATATTCTAGAACCAAGATATTTAGCTGTTTGGTAGGGAGTTCAGCAAAACTGGAGTTAAGTATAAATAGACATTTACATATTTTAATGGAAGCAAATATCCCTCTTAAATCATTTAATCACAGTCATGATGATTTGTATTTATACTTGTAAAGGACTATATGTCATGCTGGCATTTACATGAAGAAGGAGGAAAGGAAGGTATGAAGAAATGGAAGGAGAGAGGAAGAGAAAGGAGGGAGGGGAGGAGGGAGGAGGAGGAGGAGGGAGAGATGAAGTAATGAATATAGGGAGGCAAGAAGAATGGAAGAAAGGAAACAAAGACAAGGAAATGAAAGAAGACTCTTGGAAATCCTAAATGAAAGTCTTTCTCAATAAAGGGGAACACATCTTAAGGATAGAAATTAGTACTATTACTTGGACTCACCCACTGAGCTTATAGTTGCAAAGAACAAATGTAAACCAAACTATGTAAACATGTAGAACTCTACTGTGGAATTTCCAAAAGGTCCAGGTCTCCATAGGTTCTCTTAATCCAGTTTTATCTCAGAACATTCTATCTTAAATCATCTAGATTAATTAAAATTTTCATTACCACTAAGTCATTTCCATGTTTATTATTTCATTATACAATCCTCTACCTTGTTTTTTGTAAAAATCATACACATTTAACAGTTTTGGCCAATGTTGATTCTATTTGAAATTTAGGGCAAACTCTTGAGTCCAATTTTTCAGGATCCATAGTATCTGCTTTGTTTACAAACACTTTCTCAGAGTTGCTGCTGCTTGATCTTTACCCAGCAACCTGTTGATTCAATTCTTGTTAAGGGCCAGAATAGTAGTTATTTCTTTAATTCACAGTCTTGATCCTATTCTTGGACAGTATACCACAGAATTATATGAGTTCAAAATCACACAAATCATTAGCTGTTTTTTAATTTTTTTTTTTAGTTGTAGTTGGACACAATGTCTTTTTTTTATTTTTATGTGGTGCTGAGGATCAAACCCAGTACCTCACATGTGCAAGACAAGCGCTCTACCAATGAGCTATAGCCCCAGCCCTCATTAGTTGTTCTTAACGAATTCAGTCTGTTCTAATTCAAAAGGAAAATTGGAACATGACAGTCACATGAAACTGAAATATGATAGTCATCAAAAAGGTACTGTAATATCTTAAAATTTTGATGACTGCCATATTTCAGTTTCATGTGACTATTATGTTTTTCCCCCCATAATCTGCTCACACAACCTCCTCCTCAGGATGAAGGGATTGGAATGATAGCTTGCATACTGGAGTGGTTTTTTGGATCTCTAACTCTTCAAAATGAAAGATATAAATTGAATATCTTAACTCATCTTCATCTATGGAGCTTTGGAGGGGAACACATTTAAAATCAGGCCAAACTTAATTTTATTAGCAACCCTGAAACTTGTAAACAATGTAACTAAAGTGGCTGACATGACTCATCTGGTTGTTTTCTCTTTTATACCACAGTGATTGCATTCTATATCACACAGGCTCATGAAGATTGAAGGAGAGCATAAGAAATGTATTTGAAAGTAGTTGATTTTTGCAAAAACCTCCTTTGGAATTTTCACCCAAGAGGTGTTTGAAAGTTATAGGCATTTCTGAAGTAAATGAACAAATAATTCAGTTCTGCTGAATGAACATGCAAAACTGTGTACTTCAAACAATAGAAGAGTTACATTAACAAACCTTTTCCTTGATGCTGTTCCCCAACTTGATGTGTCACTGTGGCCTTTAATCCCTTATTTTATGAAATTTTCTTGTGTCCTAAGGAGGACATTAAATAGAATATATAGCTAAATTAACTTCATTAATAAATCAACTTGTTAACAACTTAAAGTTTTGAAAATTATTATTTATGGTCATGAAATACCTGGTGTCTATACTGAAAGATATTTTCTTTCATGTAATGCCCCATTCCATTTTATAATAGAAAGTTCATGAAATGATTTTAGGCATAGGGGTATTTTTCAAAAATTACTGAGAATGGGAACAAAGGTAGTCAGAACCCAGTCTGTTCTTTATAAACTTATAGATTGCAGCTAATGTACTGCAGGAGACAGGATTACAGATTGCTTATTTAAAAATGTAAAATTGATAAAACAAACAATATCCCTATTATTAACTCAACAATAACTATGCCATTATTGTCCACTGTAACTCTCTACACTATGTTATAAATCCATGTGTGTCATCATTAACTTTTGCTAGCACAAAAATCAGTATATGATGACTCTACTAAGCTTTAAAAATCTAATTTTTCATCCTTTTTTTCACATTTCACTAGCAGCCTCATTTATCCCCAAACTGTATTTTATTGTTAGTATAAGCCACAGTTGAATTTTTCCTTAAATCTCAAACGGTAATCTTAAGACCATTCAATAAATACTTGTTCTAGTACATTCCATATAAATAAACCTGTTCTTCTTGCCTAAGACCACAACATGTAGGGAGACAATTAATGACTGAAACTACCATGTAATAATATGAGTGATATATAATTTAAACAAAGCATTATTATTTTTGAAGATGAATAATAGACTTTTATGGAAATATTTGAATTGCAATTTTCCTAATTTATGATGGTGTATTTACAGTTGTATGTCAGGATTTACTGGAAAAGACTGTGAGAAAGTAATTGACCAGTGTAGACTGCTCAGCATCAACTGTCTGAATGAAGAATTGTGTTTCAATGTAATTGGAAGATTCACAGTAAGTAATTTAATGCACAGCCAAGTAATTTAGCTCTTTTAAATACAATAGCTTTAGCTAGTCAGCATTTCAAATGCTTTTATTAATTTGATCTAGAGAAATATAACCATATGTGTGTGTGGGTTTGTGTATAGATAAATATGAAATACATGAAGTTTAGTAGTATGTATTTTCAACTTAGAAGATTTATGGTGAGAAAGCATTAATAAATTTTCCAGACAATGCTTTCATTATAAAATAATCATATAGCTAATTGATTCCTGGAGATACATCTCTGTATATCATCAGTTACTAAGGCCTTAAACTCCTCAACTAGATGGAGAAATTAGTCTACTTGTTAGTTCAAGGTCAGCCTCAGGAACTTAGTGAGATCCCGCCTCAAAATAGAAAATTAAAAATAAAAGGGGATGAAGCTCAGTAATAAAGTGCCTCTGGGTTCAATCCCCAGAAGAACAGCAACAACTACAAAAATCTTCATGGCATAGTCCTGGTGCAATACCTTATGTGTATTAACAGTTGTAAATGTTCAAAAATTTGAATTTTAAAAATCTTGTCCAAGAAAGATACATATACAGTATGGCAATTATTATTTATATTTGTAAAATATAAAAATTGATACTTTCTATAATTGCATAAATATATAACAAAAGTGTAACTAGTAAACATACACAGGACTTCTACTTACTAAGTTTAGTAGAAGAGCTATTTACAGACCTTGGGGGAGTGAAATTAAAAAGTATAGAGGAGACTTCTAACATTGGTAATACTTGATTTTTTCACAATAATATGAAATTTTGGTTTAACTTTTTTATCAGCACAGCTCAATTATACAAAATAGTGGAATTTCATTCCCCAAATACTTAATTTTTTAATGCTAAATTTCAGGAATAAATATAGTGAGAACATAATGTTCATTTTATTATATTTTCTATGTTCTGGTAGCATAGGTATTTAAATATTTTTTTTTTCAATAATGAAAAGCCAATTTACAGAATTGATCAATGACATTTATATGATATGTATATTGACAAGCATATGTTGGATATTATAATGTTGTTATATAATAACATGTAGATAAGGTAACTATTTGATAGCTTACATATTTTGGATATAATATATATTTTTATATTTACCCATTTGGCCTTCTCATAAACCTCATCCCATCTTATGTAAAAAAAAAAAAAAAGGCCATTAAGTTTTGGATATTTTTCCAAGTTCACATTATTTACATGGAAGGGTAAAGCTAGATTAAAGTAAGTCTTTATGACCCCTGAATCCTTATTTTCATTCATATGAATGTATACTTTCAACATAAAGAATGTACAACCATTTTTTTCTCTTAATATTTATGTAGCCATTCTTTGGTAGTAAATTATCTAACAGAAATATATCTCTCACTTTTATCTGAAATTCTTTCACCTCATTCTATTTTTGATTTGGTTGGATGGGATGAGGATAGTGGTAAGTAGTTCCTGTTCTATTTTAGGACAATCTCTGAGTATTATCTCTGAATTTGCTTTTTAAAACTTTTTTCCACCCTCACTTTTTCCTGAATAATTTTACCTATTTTCAACTTTAATATTAATTTTATATTAACTCTAAAACCAGTTTGGATTGTTTTAAAAAGGAATTTGAATGGTGTTTTCACTTTCAACATTGCATAGATAGTTCAACCTTAACATGGATTAAATTGCATTTTCTTGAATTCCTTCTGTGCATTGATGTTTTCAGGAACTGTGGATAGTGAATGGCTTTAGCAATATCAGCTTTGCCTACAATTTCTGATCAGAAACTGAGAATTCTTCCTCCTCCTTTCCAATTATCAACTTTTCTTCTGCTTTACATTTTTTTTAACTTCAAATCTTTATCACATTTCATCTAACTTGTCAACTTGCCTCATATATTGCTTTACTAATGTTTCTTGGCTTCAAATATTGTGAAGTTGAATTATGATCAATTTGTATAAACTGAGAAATTGAAATTCTACATTTTAATTAATAATCTGATATTCTACAATTAGAAGCTAAAATAAAAGAATGTGCCCTTTTACTATAAGTATGATAATATTAGAAAATAAAACATACTAAGATTTTTACAGAAATTAGGGAATTAATGAAGAGTCCCTAAGTAGATAAAAATCAGCTAAAGACAGTATTTGATTATTTTAAAAGATTAATAAAATACAGCTTTCACAAACTTATGGAGAAAGCACAGAAATTACACAAATCAAGAATCTAAAAGTACATATCACATTTTTAGATATTAAATGATAATTAAATAATATTTAATTTTTTTCAAATATTTAACTGATAGTATTTTTTAAATACATGAGCGTGGAAGGCATTACAATTCTTATTACACATATAGAGCACAATTTTTCATATCTCTGTATGTATATAAAGTATGTTCACTCCAATTCCTGTCTTCATACCTGTACTTTGGATAATAATGTTTCTACCCTCATTGCTAACCCCCTGCCCCCTCTCTTCCCCTCCCACCCCTCTTCCCTATCTAGAGTTCATCTATTCCTCCCATACTCCCCCTCCCTACTGCATTGTGGGTCAGTCACCTTATTTCAGAGAAAAGATTCGGCATTTGTTTTTTTGGAATTGGCTAACTTCACTTAGTATTGTTTTCTCCAATATCATCCATTTACCTGCACATGCCATGATTTTATTCTCTTTTATTGCTGAGTAATATTACATTGTGTATATATGCCAAATTTTTTAATCCATTAATCTACTGAGGGTCATCTAGGTTGGTTCCAAAGTTTAGCTATTGTGAATTGTGCTGCTATAAACATTGATGTGGCTGCGTCCCTGTAGTATGCTGTTTTGAAGTCCTTTCGGTATAGACCAAGGAGAGGGATAGCTGGGTCAAATGGTGGTTCCATTCCCAGTTTTCCAAGGAATCTCCATACTGCTTTCCATATTGGCTGCACCAATTTGCAGTCCCACCAATTATGTATGAATGTCTCTTTTTTCTCCACATCCTTGCCAATACTTGTTGTTTGTCTCAAATTAGCTGCCATTCTGACTGGAGTGAGATGATATCTTAGAGTAGTTTTGATTTTCATTTCTCTAATTGAAAGAGATGATGAACATTTTTTCATATATTTGTTACTTGATTGTATATCCTCTTCTGAGAAGTGTCTGTTCATGTTCTTGGATCATTTATTGATTGGGTTATTTGGGGTTTTTTTGATGTTAAGATTTTAAGTTCTTTAAATATCCTAAAGATTAGTGCTCTATCTGATGTGTAAGGGTTAAAAATTTGCTCCCAAGATGTAGGCTATTTATCTCACAGATTGTTTCTTTTGCTAAGAAACTTTTTTAGTTTATTGATTCTTGACTTTAATTCTTTCACCAAAGGAGTCTTATTAAGGAAGTTGGGGCCTAATCCCACATGATGAAGATTAGAGCATACTTTTTCTTCTATTAGATGCAAAGTCTCTGGTTTAATTCCTAAGTCCTTGATCCACTTTGAGTTGAGTTTTGTGCATGGTGAGAGATAGGGGTTTAATTTCATTTTGTTGTATATGGATTTCCAGTTTTCCAAGCACCATTTGTTGAAGATGCTATCTTTTCTCCAATGCATGCTTTTGGTGTCTTTGTCTAATATAAGATAATTATAAATTTGTGGGTTAGTCTCTGTGTCCTCTATTCTGTACCATTGGTCTACCAGTTTGTTTTGGTGTGCCAATACCAAACTGTTTTTGTTACTATTGCTCTGGAGTACATTTTAAAGTCTGGTATAGTGATGTCACCTGCTTCACTCTTCCTGCTAAGAATTGCTTTAGCTATTCTGGGTCTCTATTTTTCCAGATGAATTTCACGATTGCTTTCTCTATTTCTATGAGGAATATCATTGGGATTTTGATCAGAATTGCATTAAATCTGTATAGTGCTTTTAGAATATGGTCATTTTGATAATATTACTTCTGCCTATTCATCTTCTAAGGTCTTCTCTGATTTCTTTCTTTAGGGTTCTGTAGTTTTCATTGTATAGATCTTTCACCTCTCATTAAGTTGATTCCCATTTTTTTTTTTGAGGCTATTGTAAATGGGGTAGTTTTCTTCATTTCCTTCTCAGAGGCTTTGTCACTGATATACAGAAATGGATTTGATTTATGGGTGTTGACTTTATATTCTGCTACTTTACTGAATTCATTTACTAGTTCTAGAAGTTTTCTGGTGAAGCTTTTTGAATCTTCTAGGTATAAATCATATTGTCAGCAAATAGTGCTAATTTGAGTTCTTCTTTTCCTATATGTATTCCTTTAATTTCTTTCATCTAATTGCTCTGGCCTGTGTTTAAAGAACTATGTTAAATAGAAGTGGTGAGAAAGGGCATCCCTCTCTTGTTACAGTTTTTATAGGGAATGCCTTCAGTATTTCTCCATTTAGAATGATGTTGGCCTGAGGCTTAGTGTAGATAGTCTTCTCAGTGTTGAGATATGTTCCTGTTATAGCCAGTTTATCAAGTGTTTTGAACATGAAGGGGTGCTGTATTTTGTCAAATGCTTTCTCTGTATCTATTGAGATGATCATATAATTCTTGGAGTCTATTTTGAAATATTTATAACTATAATTTTGACAAATGAAATGTGAAAAAAATTCAAAAAACATGACTTTCCAAAAGGTAAATAGAAAAATATCTAAGTAGTTTGTTATAAAATCAAATTTCATATATATATATATCATATATATATATATATATATATATATATATGATATATATATGATATATATATATATAGATGTAGATATAGATAGATATAGATAGATATAGATATAGATATATCTCCCCCTTGGGGAATTGGGCCCTAGGGCACTATACACTGAACTGCATACCACTCTTTTATTTTTGTTTTTTTAAGACAGGGTCTTGCTCAGTTACGCAGGTTGACCTTAAAGTTGTAATAGACTTGCCTCAGCTTCTTGAGTTGCAGAGTGACAAGTGTGCCACCATATTAGTCTTTAATTTTTTAATGTCCCTTG